AACCAAACCGGCCAGGGCGGGAAAGGCATTTCAGAGAGAGTAACAAATAGAAATCTCACTACCCACAAACCATTTTACTTCACAGAACTCATTATTACCTAGAATTGTACTGTTTAATTTGATTGTCTCCTGTACTGGACTGTTCCTTCCATGAGGGAAGGGACTTTGTTCCCTTCCTGCTGCATTCAGTTTTTGGAACATAGTAGGCACTCAAATATTTGTTGAAAGAAGGCATGGATACTAAGTTGAATTAAATCTGAATGCAGTTTTTCATTAGTAGTGACTCTAAATCAGTGAAAATTACTTACCAATATACCAGAGGGGCCAGTATGTCACATTATAATATGAACTAATCAATTTTCCAGTCCTGAAAAAATTAGAAAGGCTTTTCAATGTCTTAAAACAAAACAAAACAAAAATACACCCCAAATCAAAACAAACACAAAAACCATTGGCCTCTTAAAAATGTTTTTTTTTTTTCTAATTAACTTACATTTCAGTATATATCATTCCAGCCATTGATACATTTAGGAGTCCCCAGGCTAAAACTACTTTCCTAGCTTCTGTTTCTTTTCTCATCTTGATGGTTCTGTCAATAAGGGAAGCACTAGGGCTTGGCTCCCCTTGCATCTATTAAAAAACACAAAGCACAAGAATTAATCAAAAGAAACTACTCCATTTAAGAAATCACACGTGTGTCCTTTATAACAGTAACTAAAAATTGCACATACGTTTCATCTTTAAAATGTCTTTCCAAAAATTTTTGCATTTTAATATTAGTATATGAAAAGGGAACCCCAAATTATAACCTCACTGACACTATATTGTAATCAACAAAGAACTGGCTGGTCACTTCAGAAAACTTCATACTTTAAATAAATAAAAATGTCTTTTGTAATTTAAGTGTTGATAGTTATGTCTGCCATTACTCTGTATCGTTTCTGAAATATGTCACAAGGACAAGCCCAAGAGCTAATTTAAGAAACTCAAAATACCAAGTTTTGGGAGAAACTATTGGATTTAAGCCGGAAGCCGTTTAAGGCTTCCCTAAAGCCTTATGCAGAAACCATTAACTGCCTGTGACTAACTGTTTTCAGACGGATACAGCCAGAGGTCTCAGTTTTTTGTTTTTGTTTTTTTCAAGTTTTAGAAAGACCAGTATTCACGATGTGAGGAGGATGAGCGCGAGTGGGGACAAGTATGCATTCAGCTTTGGTTTACATTGAGACTTATATTTCCTTTGTTTTGCTAGGCCTCATCTCTTGCTGACAAGTTTAAGATTTGTTGCAGTTATATGGAGTCGTATCCCAGAGTACAGAGCAGTACCCTTCCCGCCTCCCAGCCGGAGTCCAAACTCCTCTCCCCGAACAAACTTCAGCAACCCCTATTGCTTCTTTCCTCCGCTCCTCTACGGGAGGCGAGACCTGGCCACATGCCCCCCTTTGGCTGAGCCCTCGGCAGACGGGCACGGGCGGAATTCCCACGGCCCGCGTGGACTCAGCATCCAGGAAGCACAATAATGACCCCAAACACGCACCATGATCTTAGGCCGGAAGCCGCTGACTCGCGCCACTCTCCACTGCACATGCGCGAAGCCAAGAACTAAGGCGAAAGAAGCCGGCTGGCAAGTCTACGTTACCGGAACAGGCTATCTTCTCGCGAGAAGAGAAGGATGGGGGAGGGACGGGGACTGAGAACGTTACCAGGGAAACACTCTTGGAATGGTGGCTAGCGCTCAGGTGCGGGGAGAAAGCTGATCAGTAATGATTCAGACCAGGTTCTAAACCTTCTATGTATAGTAATAACTATAAGAAGCCAAATTTCTTTGTATTAATATAATTTTAGCTTTGTTAGGGCATTTATGGACTTACATTTTAAAACATTTTATTAAGTAGAGTGGCTAATTTGTAGGATAACGTGGTAACGTGTCCAGACTTCATCAGCAATGACAAAGCATTTCTCACACCTCTGTTAAAAAAAATTAACTAATCATAAGAGAGATGCAAATTAAAATGACGGTGGGGTAAAAAAAAAAAAAAAAAAATCGTGTTCTAACCCCATGTCAATTCTCAAATATACGTGTAATGAGGGTGCAGCGTAACAAGCAAAAAACCAAAAATGTGTTTTGTTAAAGTTGTTAGTAGTTTTGAGAATGTTTTTACACTTTAAATTTCCTGCATTTTTTTGGAAGAACTTGTAATCCTGAGGAAAAGTTTATAAAGTTCAGTTTGGCTTTATTTAACAAATACAAATGCCTTCAGGGTGCCACTGAACCATGCGGGGATGTAAAAGGAAAAGCTCCGTGGTTACCGCCGGGAGGAGCTGGCGGGGGAAGGGGGTGTTGCGGGCAGGGGCTGTAGGGGCAGGTGAGGCGAGGCGCGGTGGCCCAGCTCCGATTCCCTGCTAGCTCCCGGAGGAGGCGAAGAGGACTAGGCCAGACAGCTATCAATGGGCAGGGCCTGAGGACTTGCCCTTGAGGATGCAGAGAAGCGTGCCCCTAATCAAAACTTCATGCCATGTCACGATAAAATAGTGGGTTGTTATATCATGCAGGTCCCAATGACCAAACTTTTTCCTAAAGTGTTCCTAAAGTCAAATAGAATAAAACGAGGTTTCCTTGTGGTATTACATATTAATGAAAAAAATGAAGGTATGCTGTGCTCTTGAAGATCTAGCCGATTCTTTTAGAGTGGGAGTTTTATAATTTTTAGATTGCCTTAGCAGCACTGGTGTTTTGCTCTAGTTTTATTTTTATTAATTAATTTATTTATTGTGTTTAAAAATATTTTTTTGCCCTTTATTGATTTTAAAGAGAAAGGAAGGGAGAGGGAGAGAGAGAGAGAAACATCCACGAGAGAGAACATTGACCGGCCGCCTCCTGCATGCCCCGCGCTGGGAATTTGGCCCACAATCTGGGCATGTACCCTGACTGGGAATAGAACCGGCGATTTCTTGGTGCATGGGTCGTTGCTCAATCACTGAGCCACACCGGCCAGGGTTATTAATTTATTTTTGTTCCAGATGTTTCTCTGTTTCTCTTTTTTTTTTTATCCTTGCCTGAGGATGGAGATATATATATATATATATATATATATATATATATATATATATATATATATATATATATTTGCATTTATCTTCAGGTGGAGCGGGAGGGAGAAAGGGAGGAAGAGAGAGAGAAACATTGATGTGAGAGAGACACATCAGCTGGTTGCCACCCACATGACTCCAACCGGGGCTGGGGATGAACCGAAACAGGTACATGCCCTTAACAGGAACCGAACCTGGGACTCTCTGGTCTGAGGGCCCATGCTCTAACCGCTGAGCAAAACCAGCCAGGGCAATGTTCCCCCCCACCCCCACTCCCACCCCGTAGTTTGCTCTAGTTTTAGATTGAGAAATGAACTAACTTGAAAACTGTTCAAAGTGAAAGGGTTCTATGTGCAGTCAAACTGAGAATACTAGATTCCTCCTTACCCTATGTCTGGCTCTTTCCTAAGTAGAAATTGTATACATTTGATGTAACTCACAACAGACACATGGACAGTTTCCCTCTTAATGTAATCGATAGGTTACTGTGCATTTATTAAAGGCTTAAAAAGGAACACTACTACTACTACAGTTAGATTTATCCTTGGCATTATGTATGAGTTTCCTAGAGTTGCCTTAACAAAATACTACAGATTAGGTGGCTTAAACAGCAAAATTAATTTGTTTCAGTTTTGGAGGTTGAAAGTTAAAGATCAAGATTCTAGCTGAATTGTTTTCTCCTAAGATTTATCTCCTTTGGTTTGCAGATGGACACCTTCTCTCTGTGTCCTCAATGGCCTTTTTTTTCTGTGCTCACACATCCTTAGTGTCTCTTTCTCTTCCAATAAGGTCACCAGTCATATTGGATTAGGGCCCCACCTTTACGATCTCATTTAACCTTAATTACCTCTTTAAAAGTCCTGCCTCTAATTAAAGTCAAATAGAAGCTTAAGGCTCCAATATTTGAATTTTGGGGAACACAGTTCAGTCTATAACACATTAGAATTGTATATGTTAATTTATAATCATATGAGACAAAAAAATTAGTTCTTCAGAGATTTAGATTTTAAAGACATTAAAATACTATATTTAAAGAAAATACAGTACAGTTGACAGTTGATCAAGGCCCAACCCCTGCGAAGTAGAAAATCCAAGTACAACTTTTGACTCCCCAAAAACTTAACTACTCTCAACATTTGCAAAGGTTTGTGTCCCACAGATACCAAAGTCTGAGAATGCTCAAATCCTTTATATAAAATGGCATAGATTAATGCATACAATCTGCTCTCTGCATCCTTGGACTCCCAAATGCAGATAGCCCTGGCCAGTTTGGCTCAGCGGTTAGAGCGTCGGCCTGCGGTCCGGAGAGACCCGGGTTCGGTTCCCGCTAAGGGCACGTACTTAAATAAACTTGTTTATCCAAAAAAAAAAAAAAAAAAAAAAAAAAAAAACACTACAGGTAGTCTTGGCCTGGTAGCTCAGTTGGTTAAAGCAGCAAACTGATGCAAGGTTACCAGTTCAATTCCAAGCCAGGGCACATACAAGAATCAGCCAATAAATTTATTATAAGTGGAACAATAAATCTCTCTCTCTCTCTCTCAAATCAATAAAACATTTTAAAAATGTACCACTACAGGTATTTACTGAAAAAAATCCTAATAAGTGGACCCATGCAGTTCAAACCAATGTTGTTCAAGGGTCTACTATTTATACAAATTTCAGTGGAAAATAATTAAGGCAGAACACACTATAATAAGCTATGGGGAAAGACCATAAACTTTCACAAAAGTAATTTAGATAAATCTTCCCAAAATCTAGAAGTCTAAGAAGTGTCTGTCAGTTCCTGTCATAGTTGCTGAAGTGTATGTCATAATAGGTTGCCAAGGAAGTTGTCATACATGTGGAGTGAAGTACTTCCCAGTCATTTTCATCCCTTTGAGCATGTTTTATTTTTGAAGCAAGAAGCCATCATGGGAAAACTTCTTTCCTTATTTTGGGAGGTGGATCCTCCCCCCATATCTTTAAGTTTTACCATTCCAAATCAGGATTATGAGTGCCGCCAGGATGACTCCTGTGGGACAATAGGGATCTTCCTCTTTTGGTATTTTGTCATTATATTGGTCTTGATGATCTTCTCTCGTGCTTCTATCTGGGTAGGATATCCTTTTTCATTTTAAATAATATGTTTATTCTAGGGGGTTTTCATAAAATAAATTCACTTTGATGAAACTACTTTTTTAAACTTTGTTTTCTAGTTTTAAAAATAATGCAATCTTATTCTGAAGAATCCATGAATATAGAAAAGGATGAAGAAGTCTGTTTAAACTACTGTAATTCTCTCTTTTAGAGATAACCACTGTTGACATTTTGGAGTATGTTCTTCTAGTTTCTTCTTCTTTCTATACCAATGTATATCTTTCCATCTCTCTATCTTTGATTTTACATGTTTGACATTGTGTTATAGTATATATTTTTGTATCCGGCTTTTTAAAACTTTACATTATATTGTAACACTTTCCCAAATTATATTCACACAGCAGCATTGTTAGTGACGGCATACTTTTGTTTTGTCTGTGGTTGCACCATAACATCTGCAATTTTGAGATACTGAGGTTGTTTGCACTTTGTCTATATGCTGTATAATGCTGGGATAAACTTCCCTACTGGTTAATGACCTCAAAATTCTCTGTGTAGCCAGGGAATTCTAATCACCGATACAAAAAAAAAAAGTTGTTGTATTTATATAATATATGTTGTAGCATTTGGGGGATTTTTGAATGGGGCAATACACTCTCTGAATAGAATACGCTACAGAACTAAACTAAACTAAACTAAACTAAACTAAACTAAACTAAACTAAACTAAACTAAAGTTACTGCTCCAGACCACCTACTAGCAGAAAAAAAATACCCTCTTCTTAGGAATGAGGTAGCCCACTTTATCAGGATTGTGATGTTCCAACATATAATGGGTAACTGAGCTCTTGTCAGTCACTGACATGGAATCCTTGCTGGCCATTAATACCAGGTTGATGATTAATGAAACCACCATAATTTAGCATTACAGCCAGATCTCTGGTCTGGTGGTGGTCAGCTAGACTGACTGCTATATCAGTTCTAGATGGAGAGGAGGAGGTTTGTTATGTCTATGCCAGCTGGATTCCATTATAATAATCAAAGACTCTTTCCCTCACCACCTCTTCCCCCTAAGAAGTTTCATCTAAAGTTTAAATGCTTCATAAGGTAGATACTTTGCCAAAAGGAGATTTAGAAATGATAGCTTATATGTATCTTAGACTCCCTAGCTAAGTATATTGAATTTGTCTGGTCTGGCAAGAAAGGCTACTTTAGAAAATTAACAAAAAATTGAAATTGATTCCTGGCAATTTCATCATGAAGACCAGTTAAGAGGCCTAAGCTATATTCTTCTGCTCCCTTGCTTGTGTCAGCTCTTTGGAGTCATAGAGACCTGAGCTTCAAGGACCTCAAGATTGCATATGGTCCAGTCTCCTGTTTGTAAGCAAGTAAGATATCAGTATCTGTCCTTTTTTAAGATGATAAGGCCCAAATAAATTAAGTGACCTGTCCAATCTCTCACAAGTGGTTAGTGACTGGGCCGTAGACCCAAGTTTCCGGCCAAATCATTTGTTTACTTCAAAGCATGGTTGAAATGTTGAATTAAATCTATTCAATGCTAATTAAAATCATAATTATCGTAAGGGTTCATCTTTTACTTCCCCTTATGGCAGCTAAAATTGGCTGAACTGCTTCTTCTAAAGGGTCCCAGATTTGAAATCTAAGAATCATATGAGGACTAGTCAAGGATGATGGACTTTTCCCTTCACTTTGAACTTCATTTTCTCTGCTAAACTCTGAGCCTTTATTTACATACCTTGAAGTAAAGGCAAGGGCGAGATGGAAATGTGGTGGTAAATAGCCTTAAACATGAAGCACACTGATTCCCTGGGAATTTGCCACTTGTTTTCGTCTTGTTAAAAAAAATTTTTTTTTTTAATTGGAGAGAGAGAGAGAGAGAGAGAGAGTGAGATGGATGTGAGCAAGAAACACCAATCGGTGGCCCTGACCCAGGATCAAACCCACAACCTGGATATGTGCCCTGACTGGAAATCAAACCCACTGCCTTCTGGTGTACAGGACAACAACCAACTGAGCCACACAGGCAAGGGTCGGATTTGCCACTTTTGAAGATGCATTTACCTTTTGCTTTCAGAGGCTATATATACTATGTTTAGTGTATATATTTGTTTGGTGTTTGTTTGGACTGCCAGTGCTGGAATTTTCCCTAATACCAGTACAAGCTCCTCATTTTACACATGTGGAAATTGAGCTGAGCTGATTAGTGGCTGAAAGGCAGAGCAAAGCCCATTGAATCTGTCCATTGTTCACCTCAGGGCAGGCCCTGCTGCTCTTCTTACTCACTGAGTCACAAAGATAATTAATACAATGCTTTTGGTGGCTACTGTTCACATGATTCCTCTTGATGCAAAATCTTTCTTTTGATTTTGACTTGATATCAAGTCAATGCCATGGCCTGTTTGGCTCAGCGTTAGAGCATCTGCACGGACCGGAGAGTCCCGGGTTCAGTTCCCGCTAAGGGCAAGTACCTCGGTTGCAGTTTGTTCCCGGCCCCGGTTGGGGTCGTGTGGATGGCAGCCACTCGATGTGTCTCTCTCACATCGATGTTTCTCTTTCTCTCTCTTCCTTCCTTTCTCTCTGTTGCTCTATCTGAAGATAAATGCAAAAATGTCCTCAGGTGAGGATTAAAAAAAAAAAATTCTGATATCAAGTCAAATGTGGACACTTGTGAAAATAATATAAATCTAATAAGTGTTTTACTTTTATTAAAAAATATATTTTTAGCCCTGGCCGGTTTTGCTCAGTGGTTAGAGCGTCAGCCCGTGGACCAGAGAGGCCCAGGTTCGGTAACGTACCTCTGTTATGGTTTGTCCCCAGCCCTGGTTGTGGTCGTGTGGGTGGCAACCACTCGATGTGTCTCTCTCATGTCAATGTTTTTCTCTCTCTCTCTTCCTCCGTCTCTCCCTCCTGCTCTATCTGAAGATAAATGCAAAAATTGTTATTGAGCCCTGGCCGGTTTGGCTCAACAGTTAGAATGTTGGCCTGTGGTCTGGAGAGACCCGGGTTTGGTTCCCACTAAGGGCATGTACCTCGGTTGCAGTTTGTCCCCGGCCCTGGTTGGGTCGTGTGGGTGGGTATCCCTTTCACATCGATGTTTCTCTCTTTCTCTCTCTCTCCCACTCTATCTGAACAAAATATCAAAAAATGTCCTCGGGTGAGGATAAAAAAAAAAAAAATTGTTCTCGAGTAAGGATAAAATATATATATATACATAAATATGTGTGTATATATATACAACACACACATATATGTATATTTTTTAAATTGATTTTTAGAGAGAGAGGAAGGGAGCGAGAAAGAAACATTGATGTATTGATGTGAGAGCAGAACATCGATTTACTGCCTCCTACAGGCCACAGGGCCCCCACTGGGGATCAAACTCACAACCTGGGCATGTGCTCTGACCCAGAATTGAACCAGCAACCTTTTGGTGCATGGGTCGACACCCAACCAACTGAGCCACACCAGCCAGGATGAAACCTAGTAAGTGTTTTTAAACACTTTTCCCCCCTCCATTACAAAAAGTATGCATATAAAATGTGGAAATTATAAGAAAGTAGAAAAAAATGAAAAAAAAGCCCACTCCAGATAACAGAAATAGCCAACAACTATTAACTTTTAGGTTTATAAATGTCTAATATTTTCATAATCATCTCTATACATGTTAAATTTAAAAGAAGGCCCCATAAACCATTTTTTATTTTTATTTATGTATTTATTTATTTTGGTATGTGCCCCTAGTGGGAACCGAACCCAGGACTCTCTGGTCCATAGGCTGACGCTCCAACCACTGAGCCAAACTGGCCAGGGCTATGTATTTATTTTTTTTACTCTTCACCTGAGGACATTTTTGCATTTATCTTCAGATAGAGCGGGAGGGAGAGAGGAAGAAAGAGAGAGAGAAACATCGATGTGAGAGAGACACATCCACTGCTTGCCTCCCACACGACCCCAACTGGGTCAGGGACAAACTGCAACCGAGGTACATTCCCTTAGCGGGAACTGAACCCGGTCTCTCTGGTGCCCTGGCCGACGCTCTAACCGCTGGGATATCCCTAAACCATTTTTTAAAAAGAGTATCTTTGCCCTGGCCAGTGTGACTTAGTTGGTTGAGCGTTGTCCCATATACTGAAAAGGACCCCTTTTGATTCTGGGTCAGGGCACATACCCGGGTTAGATCCCTGGTGGGGGTGCATACGGGAGGCAACCGATTGATGTTTCTCTCTCTCTCCCCTCTCCCTTCCTCTCTCTCTCAAAAAGATAAATAAATAAAATAAAAAAGAGGTATCTTAAAAGATGATTCCATTTTTAAGGCTTTCAGAGAATGGTTGCAATAACCCAAAAAGTAAAGAGCTATCTCATTAGAGATACTTGCCTCCCATTGTAGCAATCAGATATTAAGAAAGGAATGGGCCAAGGAGCTTAGATTGCAGTTATGACTACCCAAATATGGCCCTTTTCAACCCAAGAAAGTTTGACTTTCTACATATATTCACTTTTCCCTCATTTAGACAATTTGAAAAATTAAAAGGAAAAAAATACTTTCACCACTGGAAGTTAACCATTGCTAACACTTCTGTAATCCCTTAAAATCTTTACTTTTCATATTTTTAGCTAACTTGTGATCATACTGCATATACAAATTTGCATCTTGATTTTTAACTTAATGTAACATTTATTTCCTCATGTTACACCATACTTTTATCATAATAATTGTTACAACTATATATGATTGTATAATTATAGCATAATCTATTTAACTGTTGTCTATCTTTGAATTTTGTATTTTATATTATCTGAATTACACTGCAATGAATATGTCTGTACAGAGTTTTCTCTCTTTGGGAGTTATTTCCTGGTGTTAGATTCCCAGAAGAATTATTCTGTGTCAAATGTGTTAACGTGTTATGAGTATTTCTAAAGTTTTGATGTATTATAAAGGAGGAGGTGCTTTATATTTGTATTATTTGACAAAACCATTTTCAGCATCAAAAAGTGGGACACTGATCTGAAAAATGGGACAAATATATTTATGGAATATTGGGCAGAATATTTGAAATTGGGACTATTCAGAGAAATGCATTTATTCTAGTTGCCATATTCACAGATACATTATGGTTGCATTTTGAAGGACAGCTTCTAAAGGATTTAGGAGGTATTACATCTATGAATTCAGGCAAAGATCTGAAAGAAGTATTGATAATGTTACTTGATAAAATGTCCTTTAAAAAGTAATTTAAAAAGCTAATCATAGTACTATCAAATCTCTTTGTAAATGATATTTCTCTGAAGGTAAGTAAGTACAGGAAAACTTTGTAACCTATAGCTTCTTATCAGTATTACTTTCTCTCAAGTCTGGTCCTTTTGCTTGGTTCAAAACATTTTGTTAGATTCTGCTATCAAAGCAGGGTCTTCCTAGTGGACAGCAGAAGTGAAAGTCAGAAGCAACCAACTACGTGACTATTGTGTGTGTTACCTGCTGTTGAGTGGCTCTGACTCCTGGTGACACTATGAGTGAGTGATATCCACAATGTCCTGTTCTCAACAGCCTGCTTCGCAGCGTAGACTCAGGCCCTATGGCTTATTTGATGGAGTCGATCCATCCGATATTTGGTTCTCCTCTTTTCCTGCTGCCTTGTATTTTCCCTGCCTTCTCATGATTTGCCCCAAATAGGAAAGATTCAGTTTTATCAGTTTTGCCCCCAGCAATGGTTCAGGGTTAGTTTGTTCATCTTTCTGGAGGTCCGTGGTATCTATAGCGCCCTCTCCTCCAATGCCATATTCCAAGTGAGTCAATTTTTTCCCTATCAGCCTTCTTCACTGTCCAACCTTTGTATCTGTATACATTAACAGGGACACAGGGTGTGGATGACCTGAGGGTGTGGCTGATATAAGATCACTATCACTAATCTTTATTTCTGAAACAGATGTTTGAGAAGAAAAAGGATGAAAACAGTGGGACAAACACTTCAGAAAGTAAAGGTGAGAGTCAGTGCACATTTAGTATTGGACTTTGATGAGAGAACTATGTGCTGAGTGTGGAAAGCAAGCAACAGAGGTGAACAGCCAGGAGTGTTATAGGGTCTCCCCAGACCTGTGGCAGCTCAGTGAATGAGCTCCTTGCTTTAGTGCAGGACAACTTGGCTGCTTTAGTAGGGACTATGAAGTACTGGTAGGTAAAGCTCAACTTCTCTTTTCATTTCTCAGTATTCTCCCTTCACACAGTTTCCTTTTACACCCTTTATAGTTAGAGTTACTACAGGATTATGAGCTGTAAATTACATCTTTTTCAATAACCTATAAGCAGTGGTGTGCTGGCAAATGTTTAACAACCGGCTCTCCAAAAATCTGTATGTGTGTGTATACATTTAACTTTTTTTTCTTTCACTGATATAAAGGATGTATACTTCACAATTTACAAATAATAAAATATATAATACTCTTTATGGTAAATTCCATACAGACCCCTAATTCTCACAGAATACTTTCCTTGATTTTTACCAGACCCTTGCATCCTTAGCCAACTTAAGTCTGCAATTGATGAACAAGGGTAGTTCCATTATGAATGTTACTTTCCCTTAAAGAATAATATGAAAGAAACAAGATCTATGTTGGCACTTAACTTGGTTGTCAGTGATGTGAGTGACTTCTTTGCAAATTAGATAACAGTTTTAGAATACTCTGAAAGAATATGTCCTCATTTTTTTGGGTGCTATTCACAGTGTAGTGACTACAGTCCTGGCCGGTTGCTCAGTGGTTAGAGCATTGGCCTGCAGACCAATGAGTCTCATGTTCAATTCCAGTTAAGGGCATGTATCTCAGTTGCAGTTCCTCCTCGGCCCTGGTCAGAGTTGTGCGGGAGGCAACCAGTCAATGTGTCCCTCTCATGTCGATGTTTCTCTCTCTCTCTCTCTCACTCCTACTCTATCTGAAGATAAATAGAAAAATATCCTCGGGTGAGGAATAAAAAACAATAATGTAGTGGATACGAGAATGACACTTTTAAATGTAAATCTAGCCCTGGCCGGTTTGGCTCAGCGGTTAGAGCATCAGCCTGAGGTCCCGAGAGACCCGGGTTTGGTTCCCGCTAAGGGCACGTGCCTCAGTTGCAGTTTGTCCCTTGCCCTGGTTGGGTTGTGCAGGTGGCAACTACTTGATGTGTCCCTTTCACGTCAATGTTTCTCTCTCTCTCTCCCTCCCACTCTATCTGAACAAAATATCAAAAAATGTCCTCGGGTGAGAATAAAAATAAATAAATAAATACATACATACATAAATAAATAAATAAATGTAAATCTATGTTAGTACCATGTTCTCCATCATTTTATTTTATTTACTTTTTTGTTGTTTTCTATTTATCTTCAGGTAGAGTGGGAGGGAGAGAAACATCAATGTGAAAGGGACACATCAACTGGCTGCCTCCCACATGACCCCGACCAAGGCCGGGGACAAACTGCAACAGAGATACATGGCCTTGACTGGAATCAAACCCATGACTCATTGGTCCACAGGCTGACGCTGTACTGTGGAGCCAAACCGGCCAGGGGTCTATCACTTTAAACCAAGACAATCAACAAAACCATATACCAACACCTGACTTTTAGGGCTTATTGATTTTTACCCTACTCAAACTGATTTCAAGTCACCAACATGATGTCACTGAACATGCAGCTAGGAAGGAGATGCACAGTAGCACATCTTTACATGGTATTTCCAACCCCCACCTACAGCAGATAAATAGCTTCAAGAGTATACATCATAATAAGATGTAATAAAATAATTGGGAAGTGATGTTTTGAGTATTACATTTATTTGTAATACATTGATTTAATGGCAAATTTTGATAGCTTAATTTTTACTAATGGCTGCATTTAACAGCTACCTCACAAAATTCCTGAAAGCTTAACTATCAGGTTCTTGTGAGCTGGCTGATGCAAGACAACTCCAGCACACCTCTGCATAATGAAAAGATTAGTTTTTGTTTTCTGCTACCCAAACCACATTCATATACACACTTGACTCTTTAAGACTTCAAAGGAGAAAAAGGTCCTTCTTTGGAAAAGTTTAGAGACTTTTCCCTTGATCTTATATCAGGGTCCATGAAACTTCAAAAATAATATGTCAAGCATATATTTGACCTGGCATTTGGAAGACTTTGTGTGGCACTGGAGAATGCAGTCAGCTGCCAACACTTGCAAATAAGTGGAGAATAGTGGTAGCTTGGCAAATGGCAACTAAGATTGAGCCCCACACGTGCCATAGGCTCCCTTAGGTAATGTGAAGTTACAGTAACCAACAATGTGCCTAACTTGTTGATTTATTTCATTGATTGTTAGCAAGCAAAAATGCTTCCTATAAGTGGCAACACAGATATAATGCCTGGGACTCTTTACAAATGATGACAAAACCAAAGCAAAGCCAACTTACCCCTGTAACGAACTCAGAGATGGCTTTGGTCAATGCCTATCTTGAACGAAGACGATCTAGGCACCATTCTTCGTTCAGCCCGGTGAATCAGACCCAACGCGACAGTGACACTACTGAGTTCGACAGTGAAGAATGTGACTCGGGAGCCTCGTCGTGGAAGGAGAGTGAAAGTGAACACCCATCACCAGCCAGTATTAAGAGAAAAACAACTAAGAAGCAAAAGAATGTGGGAAGCTACCAAATCAGGGAAAAGCCCTGCCTCTACTGCAAAGCCATGAGAACCAATGAGTGGTTGGCTCACCATTTCCTTCCAAACACTTCTAAAAAAGCCCCAATGAAGGGATATGCTAAAGAGGAAAATTCTGTACCTGACATTAACACAAAATTCAGTAAATTTTGAATTGTATCAAGTCCTTACCTTATTTGAAGCCAAATGAGATAAATAAAACATGAAAAATCGCCAAAGTTCTAGGTGAGAAGGCTTTTTTTTTTTTAAATAATAAAGTCTCTCTATTAATAACAACAACAAAATGCTTGGAACCCAAGAGGTAAAATTTCAAATCAGTCTTTGTCCAAAAACAGGCCAGCGAAGTTGTTCATGGCACCCCTGGAGGGTCAAAAACCTGCATCCACTATGGGTTTATTCAAAAGAGCACAAGACAGATATTTTATCCCTTGAGTACATGTATTTTGTGTATGTCTATAATACTAATAAGGAAGCTCTTTAAAAATACATTTATGTTCGGAAATCATTTATACTTATTCATATGTTTTGATTATCTGACTGACTGACTGAATTAGGCGAAATTGGTTAGCACAAAATTGGCCCACATTTGCAGGTGACTGACTCTACCTGCAAGCTGTGTTGCTGCACGTGTGTCAGCTGGAGGCTGGTGAGGAGGAGGAGCAGCTCAGGCCTAGAATAAGATCTCTGATTCCAAAGTAGACCAAGGAGGGAAGGCAGACCCAGAAGGGTAGCTGGGCCATGAGTTGTCCATTGTTATTGTCCAAAGGACATAGCAAAATGTTAAAGAAAAAATTATTTTGACACTTGTTAAAATGGTAAGGAAGGCTTTATTCAATGCTATTGTAATAAGGGTCAAATCTATTGCAATAAGGGAGAGAAGTCAAGCTCAACTCCAAAAACAGTAGTGGTTTATAGCCGAGGAGCAGGGTAAGGGGGTCAGTAGACAGAAAATTACTAGGAAGAAACATCAAGGATGGGGATTCCTGCCAAACTGACCTAATAAGATTCTTGGTAAAGGCAGTCCGAGGACTTATACATCAAAGAGGGAGGATGAGGAACTTGATCAGATGTCAAGGGTGATCAGATCTCTAAGGTGGAGGGGGTGACACTAAACTTACTTAGCAATAGTCTTGCTAAAACTGGGCTGGGCAGGCCAGAGATAGGATAGACACCCGAGTTGAGATCTGGCCAACAAGAGAGCTCAGAGAAGCCTGATTTAAAATTTGGTCTTTGTTGCAAGTTAGCTGCAACCCAGCATTGTTGGGACTGGATTTTCCAGTTAAGTGGGGATCCCAGCAGTGGGAAATTCTGTAGGCCTAGGTAGGGGATGGCCATTCTGGAAATCATTCTCCAGATGATGGCAGAACCCCAGCTGGAATATAAAACAAAACCCAGATCCCAGAAAAGAGTGCTGGCTAGGATAGGATAAGCAGCAGAGACTCTGGTCACTAAACTAAAGTTCAAAGAAAGGCTTTAGGTCTCAGAGGAGGACTTAAGTACCACATATGATAAAGATTGCAACATAATACTAAGGACTAAGCCGTTTATGAGGGAGAGATCACAGAGCTCTGACACTGGGCTCATGAGTCACTGTGATAATAGCAGCTTCCTTAGTTGATTACAACAAAGACACCAGGAGGGCAATGTGGGAGCCCCAACCATTGGAACTAGAGTCCAATAGGCCACTAGAGTCCACCGCATGGGGGCCATTGCTGAGCTTATTTGCAGATTGTCCTATTCAGTCGCCTTAAGATTGAAATAGGTCTGAGACTGTGAGTGAAAGGCAGGACAACTTCATGATTCAGCTCAAGCATCAACCTTTTCCATGTAGACTCCTTTACTTCTCAACACCCAGCTCCACTGTGTTCCCTCAGGCAAACTCACTAGGCACCCCCTAATGCTCCAGTGCACCTTGAAAAGTCCTCCATCTCAGCCCTTAACATTTTAATGAATGTGTTTGCATGGGCAAAAGTAGGTTTACTTTTGTATGGAAAAAGACATGCAGGTTATGATTATTACAATAGCTTTATTAACTCTCTGTTTTATGTACTCACAACTATAAACCTACTTTTGCCCACCCCTTATGTATGTATGGATATGGATATGGATATGGATATGGATATGGATATGGATATGGATATGGATATGGATATACATATACATACATACCTTAAAGGTAGAGTCCATGATTTGTCACATTTATATCTGTGTGACCCCGCACAGTGCTAGACAACATGACAGGTAAATCATGCAGTTGAATCGATATACCAAGGGATTCACGGATTCAGAAGGGAGGAGCTGGGGACAGCTGCGAGACAGAGAAAACAGGGCAGGGGCCAATATCTAAAACTTAATGAATGATCATGATATTTATAACTCGATATGATTAAGACTTTATTTTGTTTATCTAAATAGCACCAAAACAAAAACCAAAACACAACAAAAATCAAGCTTAAACTATAGTAGTAAATTGCAGTGGCGAAGACTTAGACCCAAGTATTCTGGCTTCAGAGTGTGGGCTCTTAATTACTATGATTTTACCATTATTCTCTGAAGATGGAAGACCCTGACTTTAAGGTAAGTTAATCACTGCCTCCTATATAACTACGAGTGATGTCTAAGCAGATATACTCTCACCAGGAAAGGATGACTATTTCCTAGATAACAGAGTATGGACACATTCCCCAAATATTTTGCTTGTGGATTTAGAATATAAACCAATGACACTATTTTCTGGAGAGTGATTTATGTCAAAGACTGTTACTTTTCATGGTCTTATCCATGGGGCTAGAGCAGATCAGAGTGAGGGCGTGGAAGATAGCCCTGTGGGAAGAAGGAATTAGGGTTGAGTGAAACCAGGGGCTGTAAATATGAGGGGATTAACTAGGGTAATCTGTGAGTACATTAAACTAAAACCAGGCCAAACAAGGCTGGGAAGACATCCAAGGCCTAAGAAAGAAATGCACTGGATCAAAGGAATAAGGCAAGGACGTGGTGGAATGAGGAGCAGAAGCCTAGCCAGGCATGTTGGAATGGGAGTCATGAGCAAAATACAGAGCCAGTGAGGCGGGGGATAGACAGTTCATGAAACCAGGGTTGCAAACTCTAGTCTTGGCTGAATGTTGCTTGCATGCAGAGTCTGGTGTGAACGGCCAGGGCGGGGTTCCTGAGCTGCATAACCATCTCCTCTTCAGTCCGTCCTTGCTAAATGGGATAAACTAGGCTGCCCCTGGTTGCGACCTGCTTGGGCGGCATGGAATTCTTGGTCTTGCCTCCTATCTGTGCCCTTCTATGCAGTTAACTGTTCAGCAATGACATCTGTGGCAATGTCCACCTACTTCAAGCATGACAATTCTTGTCAGGAACTGCCATACAGGGAACTATGGGATGCAGGGAAAGGCCCAACTGAGACAGATGTGGTGAAGAACAGGAGCATACACATAGTAGGTGTTTGGAGGGGGTTGGGGAAGCTGGGAACTATGGCGCTGGGTAGACAGTCTCAAACTCTGAAACAGTATCTGCCCTTGAGGACTGGGTGGTGTGGATTTGGTGGGAGAAGCGATGAGCTAATAGGTAAAATCCAAATAACAGCAACAGTAATAATACTAACACTTAGAGAGTGCTTGTGATGTGCCAGGCACTGAGGGAAGCATTTTGTAAGGATTATTTACCCTTCACAAGCCTGCAGAATAGATATTTTCCCAATTATGGATAAGGAAACTGAGGCTTAGGTAAATTCAACAATATACCCAAGGTCATACAGCAGGTGAGTGTGGGGAGCTGGGTCTTGTCTGATCACAAAGATTTGTTTTTACCACGATGATAATACTGAAAGGGTTAGTAATGTTTTAAAGGGTAAAGGTAGCCCTGGCCGGTTTGGCTCAGCGGTTGGAGCGTCGGCCTGCGGTACAGAGAGACCCGGGTTCGGTTCCCGCTAAGGGCACGTACCTCGGTTGCAGTTTGTCCCCGGCCCTGGTTGGTCGTGCGGGTGGCAGCCACTCGATGTGTCCCTTCACATCGATGTTTCTCTCTCTCTCTCTCCCTCCCGCTCTATCTGAACAAAAAATGGAAAAATGTCCTCGGGTGAGGATAAGAAAAAAAAAGGGTAAAGGTAAAAGTTTGCAAAGGCAGAAACTGTGGAAATTGTGTTGCTTGCATGACATTTGCTCAGCCTTTTGTTGAGCACGTTTAAGGTTTATCCGAATTATCCACAAGGCAATGGATAACCCAGCAGATGCCGGATACCAGACCAGTCCTACTGCAAAGTGGACAATAGGCCAGATGAATTACATCCGCAGGAACTGCCGAAAGCTAAAAGTAGGGTATATAACCAACACCCCAACCTTAATTCGAGGCTGAACCCTTCTCAGCTCAGCCCGCCTGCACCCAGGAGTATGCAATAAAGCCATTTTGCTCTACATTGGCCTTGTGCTGTGGATGTGATCTCCTGCTGGCTCAGACCTTTTTTTTGGTGCTGACAGCTGGGAGGTCTGTGAGGATCCCGCATAGGGGACAACTGCAGGCCCCCGGAGTCCTCCGGGACCCCTGTCAGATCAGGATCGATCACATCCTCAGCTGGATACTGGACCTCCAACCTCTCCTGCCGACCCAGCATCAACACCGGACATTAGCCCTGGCCGGTTTGGCTCAGCAGTTAGAGCGTCGGCCTGCGGTCCAGAGAGACCCGGGTTTGGTTCCCACTAAGGGGCACGTACCTCGGTTGCAGTTTGTCCTCGGCCTTGGTTGGTCGTGCCGGTGGCAGCCACTCGATGTGTCACTTTCATGTCGATGTTTCTCTCTCTCTCTTTCTTCCTCTCTCTCCCTCCCACTCTATCTGAACAAAAATGGAAAAATGTCCTTGGGAGAGGATAAAAAACAACAACACTGGACATTAATTCATTGGTGAGTGTTTTTTTTTTTCCTACCAGTCTCATTCTCTGGGCTGTCTCGTTATCCCCTGTCCGGGACATGACAGCCAGGTCTCTCGGTCACGTCTGTGTGATCGTCCCTCTCAAAATCCATTGCTGCTCGGGACACCCTCCTCGGGAACCAGGTTCCCTCAGCTCATATATCTAGGGACGCCTGATGTAGGAGAGTTGCACGTCTCTCTACTCTAGGGGAGAAGCGGGGACGCCTTCTTCTTCCATAGTGCA